ATTCCATCATGCTTACCTTTTTTATGACATAAAGTATGGATCAACTCTTGTGTGATGATGATATTGTCATGAGTGGATCTACGGGGGATAAAGTTACTTTGGTTAGGGCTGACAAGATCATTGAGGAGAGGTCGAATGCAATTGACTAAAATTTTTGACAAAATTTTATATGAAACATTACAAAGGCTAATAGGGTGAAACTGTTTGATATTCTCTGGAATTTCAGTTTTGGGGATAAGGGCAATAAGAGTTTGTTCACTACAGGAGGTATAGTTTTAGAATGGAAACAGTTCTTGATGAAATCACAGACATTACCTCCAATCAAATTCCAAAATTTCTAGTAGAAAATAGCTTAAAACCGTCTTTTCCAAGAGCCTTGAAAGTACTAATGTTCTTGACAACCATCCAAATTTCCACATTAGTAATGCTTCTCAACAAAAGTTTATTCTCGTCATGCGAAAATTTATGAGTAGAAATATTACACCAATGATCTAAGACAGTCACGGGATCATTATTGAATAAAGACATGAAGTAATTCTGTATGTGACTACGGACTAAGAGTGGGTTATCAATCCACACACCTTGGTCATTTTTCAAAGAGTCAATCCTTAATTTCTTCCTTGGAGTGGGTTATTAATCCACACACCTTGGTCATTTTTCAGAGAGTCAATCATTAATTTCTTCCTTCTAGTAATGGCAGATATATGGAAAAGTTTAGTGTTCCTCTCTCCTTGAGTGATCTAATTGGCTCTAGATTTTTGAAACCTAAGAATTTCTTCTTGAAAAAGAGTTCTATTATACTGATTAATAAGTTCTTTTTTCAAAAGAAGGGGGCTATGAGGAGGAAAAGAAGCGGAATATAGAGCTTTTTGGATTCCCTCAATTCAAGAAAAAAAGCCACATTTTCCTTTTAAATATGTTACCAAAAACATCTTTGTTCCAATTGAGTGAATTAGTAGCAACAAAAAACAGGTTGTCATGAATGGAAGATGCATGATTCCAAGAAGACTTAACAATATCTTTATGAGTAGAATGCGATAACCAATCGGCTTCAAAACGAAAAGGACGATTAACAGGGTTGAGTTTGGTTATACCTTATGTGTAGACCATAAGGGGTAAATTATTCGAATATGTCCGAGGTAAATTTATGACTGCTCCTTCGGGGAATGTGGTTCTCCATTCCGTATTGCAAAGAGCACGATCTAATCTTTCCATATTGTTAGTCATTCCCTGCCTGTTGTTAGACCAAGTGAATTTCGACCCTGTGCAGCCAAGGTCTATAAGTCCACATCAGTTAATGTTATTAAGAAACTTCCTACATATGTAGTTCTGGTTGTTTTGGGAGAAGCTGCTTCGTTCATTTTGACCTATGATATCATTGAAATGTCTTGCAACAAGCCAAGGGCTAACCATGGTGTTTACAGAATTTTCCAACTCATTCCAGAGGTTTTGACGTATGCCAATATTTGGGCTAGCATAAACTGCAGTTATGACCAAATCGTCATGATTCTCTCTTTTCATAGTGGCTTGAATAACTTGGAAATTGGTAATATGGGCTCTAACAGAGACTTGTGTAGGATCCTAAATTAGTCATATACCTCCAACTCACCCAACAGGATCAACAATGGTAGAGGCAGTAAACCCCAGGTCATTGAAGAAGAGGCCCATGGAACTAAAAAGAACTTTTGTTTCAAACAGAGCCACAACATTAGGGTGATGAAGTCTAACAAGTTCTAAAAAATTTCTCCTGAAGATTTTATTGTCGGCTCCCTGACAGTTCCATGTCATAACATTCATGGATGAACGATTAGGAAAGTTGAGTAGCAGGTCTCTGCTAGCCAGACCAAGATATTTGCGCACGATCTTCGTGAATATCTCTGATGGCTTTAGAGCTGCCATCTGTGTGGCCTGCAGAGGTCTTCCGCCCACGCTCATCTACCTGGGCTCAATATTCAGCCTTATCTCTTCTATCCACCATTCGATGTTTACTAGGTAAATGGCTACGCTCTCTGGTTCGAGGTATAATCCCACCGAGCTGTTCTGCATCCTGGTAATTTGAGCTACTAGTGCCTCCAGGTCCTCGCTGGTGCTGGAGTGGCTGGAGGTGCTCATTATTTCTGCTTTAAATCAAAGGTAGCAGTGGAGGTGTTAGGGCTTTCGGTGGAAGGTGAGAGAGAAGTATTTGTACTGGAGTGGGATCAAAGAGAATGATGATGGGTTAGAGGGAGTGGTTAAAGTAACCATCAAACTAGGTTCTTTACAAGTAACGTACACCAGGCTCGGTATGAAGTTAATAGCAGGAATCGCTGGTATATCTTGTCCTTTACCAGTTGTGGTCTTATCTTTGATAAGTTGTCTCCCATCCTGTTGTCTATCAGTATATGTTCTTTGCATTGCCGTGGGATTGCCTGCCTCAATAGTTGGTGCATTGTTGTGTGCTCCTTCCATATCTAGGCCCATTGGGCTTTTTTGCTTTGCTCTATCTTTTATTCCTCTCATGCTTCCAGTCGTAGCAAGAGGCCCAAACCTATTAGCAGATCTTTTATAATTAGTAGTATTGGGTCCAGGTTGTCTCACCATGGGATTGGATCTATTGTTTCTCCTATTCACTAACATCCAAGGCCCAAATTCTTCTAACTGTTCTTAGCTAGCAGTAGGCTGTTTCCCTGATGAGCTATCCGTTGTGATTGGATTTGACCCAACTTCTTGATCGTTAGGTGTAACTTCTGGAGTTGCCTTCACTGGCTCCGGTGCCGACTTGCTGCTATAGTACTCTTTCTGGTGCCCAACTTTCCCACGATGAAAGCAAAAGTAGTGTAAATGCTCATATTCCACTGTATATGTATATTTGCCTATAGTAAATCTTGAAATTAATGATTCTGTGAGATCTACTTCTACACGACACGTGTATATCTTCCTCTAGCTGACTTGGCAGTGTTCAAGTCTATTTTAAGTGGTTTTCCAATAGCGTTTGCGATGTGGAATAGAACTTTCTCATTGTAATATTCTATTGAAAGTTGCGGAAACCTTACCCATAATGCGGTGGCTACTTCGCCAACCTCTGATGGTTTGAAATCAGGCTCTCATCATCGTACAGTTAGGTAGTGATCCATTATGATCCAAGGGCCTTCTGTATACACTTTGCTACAATCAACTTGCATTTCGAATTTGACTAAGAAAAAACCCAGACCCAAATCAGTAGCTTCAAAATCCCCTTGCAATCCCCAAATCCTTCTGAGTTTGGAGACGAGGAGTTTGTATCCTAGAGTTTTCCCAAGTAATCTGGCAATCAAGCAATCGTTCCATGGCCTATGAATGGACTGAATGAGTCGGGACAAAAGTTTGATTTTGGGGATGAATGGCCCTAAACCATCATTCTAAGATTGATCTACTTCCTCCATGCCCTCGTTATCTTCCTCATTAGTAAGGAATTCTTCATCTGAAAGTCTAGCCGGGTCATTATCAAAGGCCTTCTCATTGGCCTTTGTTGAGATAAGTGCTTGTTTGAAAGATCGTTTAGTTTGTTCCTCTGTGATAGCTTGAATCGAGTCAATCATAGCTTGATCTTCAGTGCTCTCTGTCGTGTTTTTGATCTTTTTGGTACTTCGCACCAGATGATCTTCTTCTTCCAGAGATCGGTCAGTATGCTTGTCATCTAGTATTCCGATAGCTCTAGGTTAAACGTTGTCCTCCATAAGTTCATAAAGATATGATGGTCTGTATAGAGTTATGTAATCATTATTTTTTAATTTTTCTTGTGTATTAATATCTCTTATTATAAAGTTAGACACATAGAAACAAGTGATAGATCCCACCTATCAAATAACTAGTCATAGACAAAGCCCATAAAAAGTTTTAAAATATATATGGATAGTCATCATAAAGCCCAAGAGCGAATGAAGAGACAAATAACATAAGAGGCCCGTATGAGCAGGCATCACTGCACAGTTCGTTTTCATTTTCCACAATCGCCACTAGCTTGAATGACACGAGACATTGTGGTGTGGAGATTTTAAAAAAAAATATATTGGTCGAATCTATTCCATCAAATTGTACAGTTTGGTTTTGATTTTGAGGGAATAGTTCAATTTTAGTTGCAATAAATTAAGAACAGTTGAATATGGTTCGATTCATAGATTAAAACTCAACCTCATTCCAATGTTAATGAAGTAATATTCATGCTATTCACAAAATATTCTCTATATAGGAAGAAAAAAAAATGTGTTTATGTATTATTTTTCATTATTCAAATTATTAAAAATTGCATTATTGTAATAATTACTATATAATCTAAAGAATTTGTCGTATCTTTATGCTTTTTATAAAAACTAGTTTGGAGAATATATCAAAACTTTTAAATATGCTTGTGAAATTTTTGAAAGGTTTCTGAAGGTGGAATGATTTTTTATTAGAATAAATAGTTTAAATATAGTGATGACTTCTTTTTTTTCATATCTTAGAATCGTGGATAATATAGTGATTGTCATTTATTTACTCATTTCCAGCTCCGGAAAATACAGATTGTAAAATTTGAACGTATGTGACATCTTTATGTGAATTTACACAGCTTTTGGTTTTCCAGATTGTGAATTTTGAACGTAAAAACACAAGTGACAGAAATCATATATGACCTAGAAAACTTCCACCTCCTTTTATCTTGATGAATTTGCCGGTATGAAGAAGAAGAAGCAGCAACGGACAGCTCCTACACATGGCATCAAAATCAAACCCAAAGATACAATGCTGATTAATGAAAGTTCTATAAGATGCACATATGCAGCCAATTAATACTATATGGACAAGAAAATTTGTACATAAAATCAACACAAAATGCGACAACAAATTTTGATTTTATCACTTTAAAGCAAACAGTCAATTAAAGAGGTTTATATCATAAAAAATGTCACTATCAAATTATCCTGATTGTTAAATGTAGCCTAGAGAGTGATGCATCATTTACATTATTTTACGTCTAATCCTTTCTTCATCTCTTTTGTTAGTTTCCTTAGCAAAATTGTATGGACACCAATTAATGAAGAAAGTTCCAAGGGAAGAGGAAACTGAAGATAAGGTAATTTACAAACAAGAAAACTTCAATTCATATCAGCTTATGCAAATAAATCACACTTACACAGCATACCACCAGATTGATATCTGTTTTGTTTACATTACAAACAACATAGTATAACCACAAACAACAAAGAAAGTTGAAGAGCAACATAAATAACATTAAAATTGACGTACATAAAATAATAGTGGAAAGCAAACCCTGGCCAAAAAGTCTCAATGAACTATGAACTATGTAAATGCAGGATATTCATTTTTCAGAATTGCTTTTCTACATGATCATGAACCCTCTTGGGCTCAATTTGATTAGAAGCAGACATGATTGGAGCATCCCATCCGGCACCAAAGGCCAAACTCTGAGGAGGATAGATCAAAGGATCAGATGAACCAGCAGCAGCAGCAGGTGCAATTGCAATCCCATTAAACTGTTGTTGCACTTGGTGGTGTTGACTGTTGAACACATCTTCCTTGATCAGTGAATTCAAGAATGAAGAGAACACATCGTCGGAGCAATAGTTAATATCATAGTCATCGTCCTCATTGCAGCCACCAAGACCATTGCTGCTTCTCAAACCTATCCCACAAACATCAGAATTATTCTGGTAATCGACAACTCCACCATTTCCTAGTCCCTCCTCACCATGATACTGGCCGAGGTTTGCGTTTGGCCCCTCAAAATAATACCTATTTCTTCCCTTGTTGATGAGAATTCGACCACTACTACTGACCGGCTGTTCCAAGGCAGGAGGCGGAGGAGGAGGAGGAGGAGGAGTAACAACATTACGGTTAGGTTTAGGAGGAATCGGAATTTGAATCTGATTGGCTTTTGAGGAAGAGGGTTTGTCATCCACGTTGGAGGAAGAATTAGGGCTTAATGGTTTGTGGGTTCTGGGATCAATCCCTTGGCCGATCAACTTCTTGCTGAGGTGAGTGTTCCAGTAGTTCTTTATCTCATTGTCTGTACGCCCCGGAATTCTCCCCGCTATCAAAGACCACCTGTATATATATATATATACACCAAGTTTAGATGCAAGCAAAAGAAACACTTGTATTATTTAGTTTCTATGTTTGTGTTTGTATACAGAGACAAAGGGACGAAATTGATCGACAATAATAGGACATGAGAACTAGATCATTGCAAGATTTGACACAAAATTGTAGATGTGATTGTGTGTGTGCTCGTGTTTATATTTGATAGAGAGTAGTAGTAAGACAGAATTGCTCGTATGAAAACCTAGAGCTGAAAAGAGACGGATCGAGCTGCACAGTGAAACCCTAGTTGAGAGGGTAGAAGAAGAAAATAGCCTAAATTGCGAAAACCGTAATCTATATACATACATACATATATATATATATTTGGAAGCGTAGCGTAGCTGAAAACAATGAAAACCTAACTAACTAAACACCGAAAATCACAGCGAGAGAGATTGTAGACCTGTTGCCGAGAAGGCGGTGGAGGCGGAGAATGAGGTCCTCCTCGTCGGGGGCGATGAGGCCGCGCTTGACGGAAGGGCGGAGGTAGTTCATCCAACGGAGTCTGCAACTCTTTCCGCAGCGGAGTAGCCCCGCCCTCTTGGGAAGAGTGCGCCACCGTCCCTCACCGTCCTTGTTTATGTAATTCGACAACAGCTCGTCCTCCTCCGGAGTCCATGGCCCCCTTTTCAGTCCCACTTTGCTGCAACACGGTGTCTTGCTTGTTCCTGCTCCTGAGGATGATGCTGATGATGATGGCTGCCTCATCTCTCTCTCTCTCTCTCTCTGTATGTCTTCGCTATGAAGTTTTGATGGAGTTGAGATTGAGAGCCTCTGAGATTACTGTTCAATCCGCTTTTTTATCCAGATTTTGTTTTAGTTAGTTAACATTGCATTTGAATAGATATAAATGATGATGGTCCTGTTATACATTTTTAACCATTATACACCTCTTCTATGTATTCTGTTTTTTTTTTTTTTTTTTATAATTATGACTATATTTTTTTTTAATTATGATTTTATTTTATTTGTGACTTGATTATAATTTTTTTTAGTTATGACTCAAAAAATATAAAATTATATCATTTTCTTTTTAATTATAAGATACATACGGTACACCAATAACTAAATGGTGTGTACCATATATACCTTATAACTAAAGGTTGTGGGAAAGATTAAAGGATGTGTACCATATATACCTTATAATTAAAATATAAAATTATAAAATTTCATATTTTTTTAATCATAACTAAAAAAAAAAAAAAAAAAGTCATAACTAAATATCACATGAGGTATAATCAAAGATTTCGTGAGTTATAAATATTATTATAACTAAAGAAAAATAACATAATTAGGAATGTATATGATACACAATTTTCAAATGGTTTGTATAGTAGAATTTCTCATAAAAATAAAATTATGAACAAAATTAATATAGAGAAAAATATTTTTAAAAATAATGTATGATTTAAAATTCAATTTGTATGTGGTGAATCGACATATTCCAATAAATTTGCATCACACATTGACATTTTATTTGGTTTGATTTTCAAATTTTAGTTTTTTTATTTTAAAAAATAAAAAAATCCCACCCACCACCCACCCCCCAAAAAAAAAAAATTCTATGAGTTCTTTTATTTTAAATTTTTTTTATTATCAAAGTTTAGATTTTTAATAAAAATTCAAAATTTTAAAAACAAAATAGAAGTTAAATAAAAATTTTGAATTTTTTCTATTCACAAATTTTGTGTTTTAACATCACTCACAACAATAAAACTATATTTTTGAAAAATATAGTTATAAATTACAATTATTTTAGGCGTGGTCCACACACTTTTCAGGTAATTTTCAAGACAAATATCATGTTTGCTACAAAAAAGAATATGTGATAATTCTATCTCTTTATATATTTTAATATGTTTTTTCTTCATTTTTTCAAATCTTACCGACGCCATTTGTGGTTAGCAATGCTTAATTATTGATGTGATGTATGTATGTTATTCTTGGGTGAAAAAATTATCAGTAATGCTGGGGAGCCCCAGTGGGAGTGACCGTAGCACCCCCTTCACGCGGGTCTGTGGGAGCAAGGTTTAAAGAAAACAAAAAAAAAAAAAAAAAAAAATTGAACAATCCCGCTGCGCCACATCAGCTGGGGGTCATTGGAGGTTGGAAGGGACTGGGGGCAGGAAGCATTATACAAAAATTATTTCGCGATTCTAAAGTAAGTCCAATAACATTAAGGCCTGTTTGGTAAATTGATTAAAAGTTAATTTTTGTTTTTTGACTTTTTTGATTTATTTTTTAAAAAAAAATTTCAAAAAAAATCAAAAATAGCCAAAAATATCAACTTTTAACTAACTTCTCAAAACAACCCTAAATTTGATATTACTTATTAAAATATATATTTAATTTTATTTACCTATTTTTAAAGTAAGGGAATGGTACACAAATTGTAATTAGTTGAAAACGGGGTGCACAATTTTGGATGCTTTTTGAATATATGGAGTCTATCATTTTAGATCAATCATAATTTTATTTTTTTAAAATAATAAAATTAAGCATTTTTGTTAGATTTAAAATATATATATATATATATATAAGAGTATCAAGTGATAAATGGGGTGTGCCATTGATCTATCACCATCAATAATTTCCCTCGTGTCTAGAGTTGCAAATGATCTGAGCTGAGTTTTGTTAAATTTGAACTTAACTCATTTGTTTATCGAGCTCGTTTATTGAGTTCGAGTTCGGTTCGACTCGTTAATATTAATGAAACTCAAGCTCGACTTGATAAGATTCTTTTTATTATTATTTACATATATTTATATATTATTTAATATATAAATAATATATTTATTATATAATTTAAACAAAACTAAATGAGTCGAGGTTATTCAAAGTCGAATCAGCTCGCAAATAACTTACTCGTTTGTGTTGGTAGGTGCAAAGCTTTAATAGTTATTTATGGGAGTCTAAAAAAACTAAAAAGTAAAAAAAAAAATGATATACCTCTTTTGGATACACAAAAAATAAGTTAGCTTATTGACTTTGGCTACACATCAGTTCTCTATTTTTTTATACGTTATTTTCTAATAAGTAAAAAAAAAAAAACTTATAAATCATTATCGCATCATTTTTTTTCTTTTTTCTTTTTTTTCATATGTTTTATAAAAAATAAAAAATAAAAGGAAAAGAAAATAAGCAAACCCCACTCGACCACTTAGAAAATAATACACAAGTTTATTTTTTTTTATCTATTTTCTAGACTCAGGGCAAGTTTGGAAATATAAAATATTCAAAAATCTAAAAAGTCACTAACTACTAAAAATTCGTTTAATTTAGTTTTAAAATCATAATTTGAATGTGAAATTGTGTTTGAAAAATAAAATTTTAAAATGAGTTTTGAAAAGAGAAAACTTATTTGGTTAAAAATTTTGAAAAGTGTTTTGAGTTTTAAGTTGTATTTTAAAATTGTTTTGGGTTTATTTTTTTTAAATATTTTTAAAAATTCTTAATTTTATTTTTTAAAAGTAAATATTTTTTATGTAAGGTCCTAATGTCCCACATCGGGAATGAATGGGGAGTTTCTGTGTTATAAAAGTAAAAACCTAGACCCTTATATAGTATTGAGGCATTTTTCCCGAGTGGTAAAATCCGTAGCAGAACTCCCCAGTTAAGCATACTTAGGCGGGAGTAGTTCTGGGATGGGTGACTCACTGGAAAAAATAAATCCGTGCGAGCGTGACCCAAAACGGATAATATCGATGACATGTAAATGGTTGGGGTGTTACAAATGGTATTAAAGCCGACTCTCCGGAGTACCGAGTGTGGTCCCCTGATCTCTCGGTGCATGTGGGCAGACTTGTGAGCTAACAGGCTACTGTATGGGGACGTGTAGCCCTAAGGGGATGGATTGTAAGGTCCAAGTGTCCCACATCGGGAATGGAAAGGGAGTTTCTGGATTATAAAAGTAAAAACCTGAACCCTTATACAGTGTCGAGGCCTTTTCCCGAGTAGTGAAATCCCTAGCAGAACTCTCCAATTAAGTGTACTTAGGCTGGAATTGTTCTAGGATGGGTGACCCACTGGGAAGAACAAATCCGTGCGGGCGTGACGCAAAGCAGACAATATTAATGGCATGTGAAGGGTTAGGGTGTTGCATTTTATTGTAAATGTTTTTTTTTTTTAATATGCGATGTATTTTGTGTGTTGCATTTTTTAAAATATTTTATTTTATTTATTAATTTTTTTTTACATTTTTTAATTTTTTTAATTTTTTAAAAATTTTGGATCACTCATATATATATATATCTAAATCATAACAAATTATTTGGTCAATGCTTAGAAAAATAACAAAAATATTTTTTTGAAAAAATAAAAAAATGAAAAATATTTTTCAAAAAAATAAAAAATATATCTTCTAGAAAAAAAAAATTCACAAAAATAATAATAATTTTAAAAAACGAAATAAATTTTTTGATTTTTTTTTTAAATAGAGTTTTGAGTTTAGTGTTTGATTATGCATTTTGAAAAGAATTTTGAAATTTTCTCACTTTAATTTTTCTCTTTACTTTTCTATTCGTCTTTCCGTAAAAAATTAAAAAATCAACTAAAATAATCCTTAATAATATGTAAAAGATATAATTAACTAATAATTAGACAAAAAAAAATATGAAAGAGAGAGTATGAAAGAGGGAGTTAATTTAACAATAATGATTCCTCTCTCAAAAATTAGAGTTCTAATTGAGCTCTAGTGAAGTAAAAAGGAAAAAAAAAATAATAAAGTCAAAACATCACATCAAATGAGTCTTATATACACATTAGAGCTATTAGAACTCACAAATTAAAATTCCAAAATATTTTTGTTAATTTAAATATTTTACTAACATATTATCACATTAGTAGAGAAGTTATTGGTTGGTTATGGAATATTGTTCTATACTATTTATTGAATGATAAATATTCAATTATCTTTTAGAAAGACGCAAAAAAAGGTCATAAATCTCATTATGTTAATCAATAAAATCAAATTTAAGCACCACATCAGCATGCCCCCGAAAACAATGAATAATTTCCCTTGAAAAGTTCGTCCTTCAGATAATGTAATTCATGAATTATGTGAGCTCCCATCCCGATAACGAAAAATTATGTTTATTTTTAATTTTTTTGAAAACACTTTACAAAAAAAAATTGTTTTCTTATTCTTTATATTTTTTTATTTTTATTAAATTTTTTTAATATTTAAATAATATTTTTAATTTTTAGACACATAACATAAATACACTTAAAAAATATAATTTTCATGAAAAAATATTTTAAAAATTCACTAAATACCAAAAATACAAAAAAAAATATAAAAATTCAGTATATTTTTTATATTTTTGTATATTTATTAATTTTTTAAAATATTTTATACAAATATTTACTTTTTAGATATATCTAAGTAAGGTGCATCTAAAAAAGTAAAAAAAAAAATGCTTAAAATTTTAAATGTAACGCCCTCAAAATAATATAATAAATCCAACTCATTAGTAGAAATAATAGAAATATAATATTTTTAATCATCAGAGTTCGTTTACAAAAGTTAACATATGCGATATACATTCACAAATATTCATTCTGAATCTACAGCATATGTTACATTGTAAAGAGAATTAAACTAAACATTTAGTCATATGCTCTATAGGCTTACAATTTTCCAAGTAATTACTTGGTTACACAAAGGTGAGCCTAGCTTAGTACAATTTCAGCCATTGGTTATACAAAAGAATATAACAAAATAAAGAAACTCTTACTCCCAAAAGTCCCTCCAAGCTGTTGCCTTGGCGGATGCATGTCACCAACACCTGAAAATAGTTTTTCCCAAATAGGTTGAGCCAAAACCCAGTAGAAATAATCTAACACGGTATATGAGATTTAACAAAGATATAAGTACAATGTACACATACAAATATCGGTGATAAAATCTCCACATTTTATATAACCATAAGACACTAAGGTTCCATAAAAAAATTTACTTACACATATAATCATTAAAATTATAAATAAAACAATTTAATAAAACAAAATTAGAACAAAAAAATTAGGAAAAAATTATTCAATTAAAATTGATAAAGACCTAGGTAAAAAAATTTGAGCAAAATTATTTATTCCACTAAAATCTAATAGATAAAGAAGGTAAAAAAAAAAAAAAAATAGGGCCCATATATTGTATGTATTATTTTTCTTGAGCCCAAACACTTTTTTTTTAATATATATTTTCATTTTAATAAATATGGACCAAACTACACTTATAAATAAATATGGAGTAAATCATACATAGACCCAAAAAATATTTTGGGGCCCTTTAAATTGATCATAAAACAAAAAAAAAAAAACACTGAGCCTATAATATTTTACCAAATTTAGGGGCCCTATTTTTGGGCCAAATTTAGGGACCCTATGTTATATATGTTTATATGTTTTACCAAATTTAGGGGCCCTATTGTTTTTTTTTTTATTTATTTATATATTTTCATTTTAATAAATATGGGCCAAACATATTTATAAATAAATATGGGTTAAATTATACATGGGCCCAATAAAACATTTGGGGCCCTTTAAATTGATCTTAAAACCCAAAAAAAAAAAAAAAGTTGAACCTATAACAATTTTTTAAAATTGGGGATCCTATTTTTTGGCCAAAATATGGGGCCTAGGGCACAAGCCTTACCTGCCTTATACTCCTCATCAATCACAATATATATGTCTTCTACGATTTCTTAATCACCTAACATAAAATCGTAAATCTCGCATTCTCCACTAATCATAACACTCCTAAGATACCACTTGACCCATTGTACCCAAGACCATCAAATAATTTCTACTTTTCACAATTTGTATCAATCCTTTGAAACTTGGCTCGAAATGGCACACCATAGTAATCAACAAGTTATCTTTATCAAATAGGTCTAATTTTTTTATGTCGATAAAATATATAAAATATTTGACAAAATAAACGTTTTTAATTATCAAAACAAGACCCATATAAATCCACAAGCTCAAATAACACCTTCTAGTCTAATTTTTAGACTAACGATCCTCCTCCTTTTATTAACTGGAGCTAGATTCCCCGCCATTTATAACGTAGATTGAAGGATGCTATTTGTAGAGTATGCCGTTAGTCACATTTTAAGCCTGTACCAAATTTTTTAACCTGTTTTTTTTATTTTTTTTACTATTTTAATCTGATTTAAAAAGTTTCGTTTATAATGAACTTTTGACATTTTTATAATTTTGTGAGAGAAAAAAGAGAAATTATTATAATTTGGATGTGACATTTTATTTTACTGAGTTTTTAACCTATTTTATGTTTTAGTAGACTAATAGTCTCAACCATCTTGTCAAACGGTCCGAACATATTATTGTATTAGGCATTTTGTGTATTTTATTTATATAAAAAAAAATTATATTGATCCGATAATCGTAATTTATTTGATTTGTCATTTTTGTCGCAGACAAAACAAAAATAAAATTGGATGATTTATTTTTAAAAACGCAAATGTTATTCATTTTTTTAGTGACAAACACAATAAATATAGGTTACAATTATCAAATTGGACTAATTTTTTATGGATAAAATATACAAAATACGTGACAAAATAAACAGTTATGATCATCCAAACATAACCCATAATAGATCTTATGGACCCAAACAACACCCCAATCTATAATCCGAAATCCTGCTGATCAAAAAAAAAAACTCTATAATCTGAAATTGCCCTCACCTTACCCCAATTAGTTTCAATGGCAGAAAATTGCTCCCACCACGCCAAATAGGGAGTCTCTATTTGCACACCACAAAAACTCTAATCCCACACCAATTTTCATTTTTTTTTAATTACGAATTTGCCACTCAAGAAAATTACCAAAGAGGACAAATATTCATCCATTCAAACTCGTCGGTGCCTGCGCTAACTATACCATCTCCAACCCTCGCAGCACCTCCCCAATGCAGCCCTTATCCCTCACCACTGCCAACCTCCAACCACCACCGCAACCCCCTTCTCTAGCCACCAGTGACTCCGAACAACCCTACTCTCCCTTCGCTACTGCTAACAGCCTCGCCTCCACCCTCGCCATCGCAGTCAACCCCGTCGCCCAGATCCACCATCGCGATCCATTTCTACCTCCATCTCAACCCTTCATTCACCGTAGAGAGACAAAGACAGATCGCGAGCGAGAGAGAAAGAGAGAGATCGCGATTGAGAGGTAGCGGTAGTGGCAATGGACGTTAGGGTTTTGAGACAAGAGAATGGGAGCTGGGGAGGGTTTTGCGACTGAATAGGAAGGGCGGCAGCGAAAGAATGAGTCGAGGACGAAGGGGCTGCGACGCAAGGGAAAGGAAGCTGCGGAAGAAGAAGCAGCGGAGGGAAAGGGAGAGTGGTTGGGAAGAGGATGGCGGCAAGAGAAGGGGTAATCAACACTAGTTAGGGTTAGGGTTAGGACTTCGATGTCGAAGCCGGTGATGGAAGCGGCGGCAATGACAATGATTTGGGGTTAGGGTTAATGAGGATATATTAGGAATTTGGTAGTGTGAATTGAGAAATAAATATTTTTAAAAAATGTGTGTGTGATGTGAACTAAGTAATAGTGTGGTATGAGAGTTTTGATTGTGTACAAATAGAGGCTCCCCACCAAATAACGGGAGCTTCTATTTGCACATCCACATTCCCCTCTTTGCATACACTTAATAGAAATTATTTTTATTATAATTTTATTTTCAAGTGAAATTACTATTATGGACATCAAATAAACACATTCGAAAGTTGAATGTCGAAAAAATGATAAAAATTCGGAATTCTACTTCCGAACCAATTGTTTATTTTCGAAATGCTACTTCCGAACCAATTGTTTATTTTCGGAATGTTAGTTTCGAAGCAATTATTTATTGAAAAAGATGTATATAGAGTGTAATGGGTTTGTGCAAATAGATGCTACCCCAAATAACTAACAAGGAATACTTAAATGACAGAAATAGCCTTCAGCCGAAGGGCAGAAGGATAGGAATGGAAAAGAAAGGTTGGTGGAATTGGTTTGGTCTGTCTAACATTTTCTGACCCTACCCTAGTACTGCTGCTTAGAACGTTTGGTTGGCCCATTAACTTCTCCATTTTCATCCCCACCACAATGACAAACAGAGAAAGAAGCTACCAGTCAAGCCAAACAAACTGTAAGTTTTGATCCCCTCCTCACCCAATACACAACATCCACATGTCCTTAATTTAAAAATTAAAAAAAAAATAAAAAAAATGCTCTATACATATATCACTCATTTTTTTGTTACCGTTTCATAATTATAATTGATTCTTTATTTAACAATAATTTTTAAAAATTAATAATAGAAACAAATAATATATATTGTTTTGTAATTTAGTGATATATAAAATACAAAGTGCTCTTTAAATTGAAACCGTGTATGCTGGGGACTATATATAAAATATGTCTGAGCCTTCTCATATGTAAAACTCTGCTTCTCTCTGCTCTCATGATTTCTGTTACTTTTTTTCTTTTTCTCTAATAAAATCTTTATGTAATTTGCCCAAGTGAGATTGCAGACCCCATTCTATCATTGTATTGTATCATTATCATCTTACAACAATGTAATCAGCAAAAGAAACCAAACAATCATTTTATGCTTTTCTTCCATGCACAACTTTTTCGGCTTCAGGTTTCCGGGTAAGATAATACTCTTCTTCTTCTTCTTCTTCTTCTACTATGCGTTCTCCCTTTGCTTCAAACATGATATATATGCCTGTTTATGCATATTCAGGAACATGTTTTTTGTAATTTTTTTTAATGAACTTTAGTGGTTGAAGTTGGTGAGTGTAACATATAATCTAGCAAAATGGCTATACAGTACTTGTTAATGTGTTCCTCTCTCTGTTTCTCAAAATTTGAGTGCTTCATGTCTGCAAAGCCAAACATGGCCTTAAGCGGTTCATCTCAAGTTTCTAAACTTCTATCAGACTTTGAAAAAATAAAAAATAAAAAATAAATAAAACAACGTTGTGAAAAAACAACACCATATTACATGTTACTTCTAAATTTTTCACGACTATTTTTGTATTTTTGTTTGTTTGTTGGTCTGTTCCTAGGATATTAATCATTTGAGAGGATTATGAGGTTGTTCAAGATTTTACAAGGACATGCATGCTTTGTTTTCTAAATTATATATTATTTAATAAATAATATGTACAGTTCAACCACCCATGGACACAGAGTTGGAATCTTCTCTCTGTTTGAGTTTTAGGGGATGCACTAAAACAATCTAAACAAGTAATAATGTTGTGATCGTCACATTATTATGTTATTACATTTTGCTCATTTATGTAATAAATTTCACTACTTACATCTATTACCAACAATAATTGTAATGATTTAAAATTTGTTAGAACTTTCTCATGTGGAGGCTCACATTTGTTGAAAACTAGCTTTCATTCTATCGCATGGTATAGAAGAGTAGTTTTAGATTCTTCAAACTATGGGTTCATATATCTCACATATCGGAAAATTATTCAATAATTCAGATGGATGATTGTGGCGTATACATATAATGGTTCTCCTAGCCAATGAGGCCGAGCAAAACAAAATCAATGAGGCTGATGTTATTCCGTTCTTCTACTTGCACATAAATCAATTACAAAATCGGACACAATTATTTCACATTAGTATGGAACCCACAAAAAGGTGCGATTCAACTCATGTGAGAAATGTTGTGTCTAATTCTATATTTATTTTATGTGTTCTTAAATTTTTTTTGACTATATCTCCCTTCAAGCCGACCAAGATGCATAAGGTTAGTACCATTCATCTCACAACTATCTTGTTCTTATTTGCTCAAAAATATTATATGAACTTGTTAAAGTGAAGCTGCCAAGTAAAATCGAGTCGTGTAAATTGGATATTGCGGTAACTTGGTCCACCACTAGTATGTAATGTACCACAACAAAGTGGTGCACCTTCTTGTGCATTTGTCCATATATATAAACATAATTACCAAAATGTCGTGGTGAACTATTGAAATGGAAAGTTTGTCACGTATGCCAAACAAAAGCTGTCATATTTGTAAAAATTAGATCAAATTGTAAACTCATTGATTCTTAAAATGAGAACTCATCCTAAGCATAACACTTTAACACATTCTAAGAAGGTAAATTTGAGATTCAAAGACCACCTTCTAAACCAGTGAACCAGATAGAATTCTTTTAATTATTTCGTATAACTGTCACCTTGACGAGCAAAAAGATAAATACATTCCAAAAAAAAGTTTAAAAAGTGTTTTGAACTTTAGAGACAATTAAATACATATGCCATAATTTGTCTATTATGACACCCTATGCAATACCCAATATCAATAACATACGAAGTAAAATTAAAGTTAACCCCCAAGGGTTGGTGTAGTGGTGTAGGTTTGGGACTTAAGAGTTTATTTCTCCTTAGGTTGCAGGTTCAAAACCTCTTAGGTACAAAACCTCTTAGGGTGATCAATTCTTATGTTGGGTCAGTTCATATGGAACTTTGCTCTGGTTTTAAATAGGCCCTTTGTTAGGTTCAAAACCTCTTAGGTGCAAAACCTCTTAGGGTGATCAATTCTTATGTTGGGTCAGTTCATATGGAACTTTGCTCTGGTTTTAAATAGGCCCTTTGTTAGTAGACGGTAGGATTGGTCCCTCAGAGATTAGTCGAGGTGCGCGCAAGCTAACTATCAATTGGGTCAGGCCATACGGAGCTTTGTTCTAGCTTTAAATGAGCCCCCACTAGTGGAAGATAGGATTAGTTCCCCAGAGATTAGTCTAGCTCGAACATTCTGAGTTATCAAAAAAACCCAAAATAAGCCTGATATAATTAGTTTAAACCATCAAATTTTCCCAAGTTCATTGTGAGGTGAAAGAAAATACATTAAAAAAAATTTGCACAGAGTCGGTCATAATGGTAAGACGAAGAAATGAGATTCACATGGGTATGATAGAAAATATAAATAAATAAAAATTATATATATGCTTATAATTACAATAGATGCAGAAAATATAAGGAAATGAAAAGGTCAAACAAAAGTAGCAACTTGGGCTATTTTTAAAAACGGGGTGTGCAACAAGTCAACCATCTACCAATCACCACGAACTAAAAATGACTGGTAGCTAAGTTTGTGTTGAAAGTCAGATGTTATGAACATCTAAAAGTTCTTTTGAGTGTTTTTTGGGGAAAGATAAAAACACGGGAAGTTACAAAGAAAATAATTTTTAATGTAGTACTACTTGTTAACGTCAACGATTTAGGGATTTTATACCAATTTTACCCAAAACATTTCTGATTACGGTTGATTATTTATTTTTAAGAATTCCTTTTTGTTGACATATATTTTTATGATATATGGTAATAAGAAGTTTACAATGTACATCATGTTGCATGAAATGTCGCTGATCAAAAAAATGTTGCATGAAATGTCTAGTCATTTTTGAGACTCCAAGGTCTAAGGAATTTTATAATACACAATTTTATAAAGAAATTTGTGTATTTGAAAACTTTAAAAATATCTCAAAAAGTCATAATAAAATATAAAATTTAATTTTAAAGGTCAAAAAAGAAAAATGCGACAGACTCCCAGTAAAATCAACCCCCAGTGACTCCTAGTGCCACGTGACACTGGGTGGGTGATTGGAAAGAAAAGAAAAAAAAAATTATTTTTGCCTACTGGGGTCCCTAGCACCACTGGCCAAAAAAAGATAGAGAGGAAAAGTAGGGGGGTTCATGTATTAGGTAGGCAATATGAAGAGAAATGGGGACATTCCACCTCAAGAGTAATTTTAAAAAATAATTATAAATAAATAATAAATTTTATAACTATTAATAATAAAAAACATAAAAGAAAAAAAAATCATAAATTTATAATAATTTTTAAAATTACCACTAATTAGTAATTTTTCCAAAAGGAGTCTTCTTGGTCCCACATGGAGCACTCAGGCACAGAGATGTGGACCACCCAAAAACTAGTACAAAATATGAAAAAGACAGTGCTTCCCTCCGGTCTTATATTGGATTAGGAGTTATTGGATGTATGGAGATTCAATGCGGTTCTATATTTTGATAATTTAAATCGTTTCATCTGTAAAATTCGTTAAGTATTATATATTTGTAAAAAAATTACGTGGATTAGATATCGATAATTATCTCATCGAATCAGTTTTGTGTCAATCATTTATTTTTCACTGTTTATTTTTTTATACAAAATTGATTTGATTACGCAGCTATCAATATCCGATCAACTTGATTTTTTACAAGTCTATAGTACTCGACGAGTTCAACACATCAAAACGATTCGAATTATCGAAACAACATATGTGATGAGTCCTCATGGATTCTACAACACTCTTCAATCCGATCCGACACTTAAGGAAGCCAGGCATATGAAGGCCTATGAAAAATTATTTGATGAATATGAAGCTACCCAATAAGAAAAGAATTGTTGGGATCTATATCTTATCTCTTGGAACCCCCTAAAAGTTAATTTATTGAATAAATAAACTTATTTTTGTTAGAAAATACAATTCCTGAAAACGAGCAAGCATGTCTCTGTACATGGATCAACTTCAAATGAAGCTCATAATTCCTCATCATCATATTCATCATTTCCAATGTAATGCGTAATAATTAACTTAGCGGTGGTACTACATATATCAATTAGTATACACATTAGTATGCTAACTAATATTATGATATTATTAATGACCCTATTTATTATACAAATTACAAATATCTAAAATTTTTAAAATTATACCACATCGTCTGTTGATACACTAATTAATACATATAGTATTATTCTTAACCTAATCGTCATGCATATAACCTATTTTCAACCTCCAATTAGAGCATTAATTAGCAATTGTTAGGGGCATCCTCTAAATAATTGATAAATAATATCTTTAAATATACAAATATTAACAAGTATTCTTAGAGTACTATGTAATATTGAGAATTATGTAAAAAATGTTTTGTAATTGGTGAAAATGTTTCCCAACAAAAATTCAATTTTTTTAAATTCATGAAAATTATTTTGTAATTTTCTATTGTCTTTTTGGTATGCCTAGGGACAGTTATAAGTTAGCAAGACACCAAAAGTATAGAACAAACTATATAGATAGAGAATAGGATTCTTGAGCAGTAAATCACAATGTTGAATAGTTGTGAACAATGTGGAAATCACTCAGCTATATGGAATAGTTTTATAATCTCAAGAGGTTGGTCTAGTGGTCAAGCTTGGGGTGTACTCTCTCCAAAATCTTAGGTTTGGAACTTTTTAAGTGCAAATAATTTCTTAAAGTCAGTCCATAGCATTAAATGAGCTCCTTGTTAGTGAACGGTGAGATTGATTTTCAGATTAATCTATCTATTGGGCTGCTGGACCGAGTTATCAAAAAAAAAAAATGGAATAGTTTCAATTCTGTATGCTTGAGGAACAATTAATTTAGGAAACATTAGGGTTCCAATATTTTTTTCTTGAAAAGAATACATGAGAATCATGAAGAGTTGGTTATACCCACATCCGAACTAATATAAGAGGATTCAAACATTAAATATTTGAAAGGAAAATGAACTGCATGTCAAAACCCAAAAGTGTGGAACCAACAAACCCAAGGTCAACGAACTCTTGTAAAATTCTGTCTTCTATTTTACAAGCAATACATTTATATGTAAGTCCTATAGTAGACTAACAGTTATCGTAACATCGTAAACACACAATTGAATGTTAATCACAATAGTGAAAAACTGAACGTTGAAACTTATAGTATTTAGCTCATGGTCAACAAATGTGAACCAGGTTTTAGACAAGGTAATATGTAATGCTAGTATAATCAAGCCTGTGCATAATGCTCTAGCCAGTAGAAGCGTAAGAGTCAAATTTGGATTAGTTTAGTTTTTTTTTTTTTTTTTTTTTGGATAACTTAGGGTATCTGGGCTAGTTTGCACGCATTTCAACTAATTCTTTGAAAATCAATTCCACCATCCAGTACAGAGGGGCCTAATTAAAGTTAGAACAAAATTCCATATGAACTAACCCAACACAAGAATTAATAACATTTAAGAGATTTCGAATCTAAGACTTAGAAAGAAGCAAACTCTTAAGTACAAAACTTATACCACTAAGCCAATCGTTAGGGATTAGATTAGTTTAGTTATTATATATTGGAAGAAGCTCGTGCATACCATATGGATACAAGATTTGGAAGAAAAGAGCCAATCCTTAAGGATTAGATTAGTTTAGTTACTATATATTGGAAGAAGCACGTGCATACCACATGGATACAAGATTTGGAAGAAAAGACATGCAAAGCGCACATGCTTTTATAATAAATACAGTTTTTTTTTTTTAACGGCAAAAGAAAACTTTATTAATGAGAATAGAATACATACATATCAATAAAGAAAAGGAAAAAGTGTAAAAAGTATCACAGCAAGTAAATCCTAAAATTCTTTTCTTGCTTTTTTGAGTCTTGATTCTCTTACTTTAAGAGCATATACTGAAGTTCCTAACTCCAGAAATGTCATAAGATTATGTTCATCAACCTCTTGGTGAACATCAAACCGTGAAGTTACGTACCTGCTTTGAGGTCCATATATGAACTACTACTATGCATTCTACACTACATCTAGGTGTAGTAATTACTCAATTGTTTCCCTCAATCTGATGAATTTGAATTTTGCTTTGTTTAGCCCAACAAATTATATTGATACAATGAAATTTTAGTTCCACTAACAGCCATGATTCAACTCTAGTGATTATTTTCATTAATCTGTAGGACTAGGATATCTGGTGATTATTTTCATTGTTCCATCATCCTTATATAGCATTGGAAGATTGAATCTAGCATCATGAAAAACAAAAGTTGCTACCGCACATGACATACGTAAATGTTTTTGTTTCAGCCTAGAATGAGATCCATCTAATATGATTCCCACAAGAATCACATAAACCTAAGACTGTTGTCTCTCTTGTCTGCAAAAATTGAAGTTTCAACATATATACTTTAACATGCTCCTTAATTTGTTCATTCTACAACTATATGTATCGTACTGTAAATTCCTCTTGATTTTATTATTTTCTTAGTCTTTATTTACAGCCTTTGTTGATTGCCAATGCATTTACTGATTTCCAGCTTTGGAAGTGGATATAAATACACCAATTGGTTTTCCATATTGTGAGTTTCAAACATAAAACAAGTTACAGAAATCATAAGGCCTAGAAAATTTTCACCTCCTTTGTCTTCATCCACCCGCTCCTTAGCAACCTTAATATAAAGAATATGTATATGTGCATCAAAATTGAACCCATAGGTTTAATGTCAAATAATGGAAGTTCCATAAGATGCATATATGTAACCGATTAGTACTAAAATTTGTACATAAACTCAGTACGCAATGCTATGACACGTTTTGATTTCAACACTCTAAAACAAATGATCCATCAAAGTAGTTTATATTGTCAAAAATATCATCATCCATCATTCTCATCTCTAAATTTTGTATAAAAATTCTATCATTTTCCTATGTAGCCTAGAGAGTAGTGCATCATATTACTTCTAACCCTTTCCTTAGCATTTTGTTCCTTTGTATAATAATATAATATTGACACCATCTTGACGAGTACCAATTATTACTGAAGCAAAAAATTCCAAAGGGAAGAGGAAAATGAGAATAAGGTGATTTACAAACAAGAAAACTTCAATTCATTTCAGCTTATGCAAATAAAGCACACTCACACAAACATATCACCAGATTGATATATGTTTTGTTTACAATACCAACAACATAGTATAACCACAAGCAATACCACAACTATAAGGAAAGTGGAAGAGGAGCACTGTAGACAACATTGAAATTGACACACATAAAATAATAGTGCAAAGCAAACCCTAGCCACAAATTCTAAAATCAAGTATGTAATTGCAGGTTTGAGTTTTCAGATCTGCTTTTCCATGTGATCACGAAACCTTCTTGGATCATTTTGGTTAAAAGCAGACATGATTGGAGCATCCCATCCGGCAACAAAGGCCAAACTCTGAGGAGGAGGGTAGATCAAAGGATCAGAAGAACCAGCAGCAGCAGGTGCAATTGAAATCTCATTAGATTGCTGTTGCACTTGGACATATTGTTGACTGTTGAACACGTCTTCGTTGATCAGTGAATTCAAGAATGAAGAGAACACATCATTCGTGCCATAGTCAATTTCATAATCATCGTCCTCATTGCTACCGAGACCATTGCTGCCTCCCAACCCTATCCCACAAATATCAGAGTTATTCTGGATATTAAGGACACCACCATTTCCTACTCCCTCCCCCTCCTCCTCACCATGATAATACTGGCCGAGGTTTGCTCCCTCAGAATACCCATTTCTTCCCTTGTTGATGAGAATTCGACGGCTACTACTGACCGGCTGATCCAAGGCAGGAGGAGGAGGAGTAACAAGATTGGGGTTAGGGTTAGGAGGCATCTGAATTTGAATCTGATTGGCTTTTGAGGAAGACGGTTTGTCATCCGCCGCCACGGAGGAAGAATTAGGGCTTAATGGCTTGTGGGTTCTGGGATCAATCCCTTGGCTGATCAACTTCTTGCTGAGGTGAGTGTTCCAGTAGTTCTTTATCTCATTGTCTGTACGCCCCGGAATTCTCCCCGCTATCAAAGACCACCTATACGGAGATACAAACCAAGTTTAGACGCAAAACAAACACTATTATTCATGAGAACAAGATCATAGTAAGATTGAAACAGGCAGATTTGCAGGTTTGTATTTGAAAGAGAAGTGCTCGTATGCAGTGAAAAAACCTAAAGCTGAAAGAGACAGATTGAGCTGCATAGTGAAACCCTAATTGACAAGTAGTAGAAGAAGAAAACAGTGAAACCCTAAATAACCAAAAACCAGAGAGAGAGAGAGATTGTAGACCTGTTGCCGAGAAGGCGATGGAGGCGGAGAATGAGATCCTCCTCGTCGGGGGCGATAAGGCCGCGCTTGACGGAGGGGCGGAGGTAGTTCATCCATCGGAGTCTGCAACTCTTTCCGCAGCGGAGGAGCCCCGCCCTCTTGGGAAGAGTGCGCCACCGTCCCTCACCTTCCTTGTTTATGTAATTCGACAACAGCTCGTCCTCCTCCGGAGTCCATGGCCCTCTCTTCATTCCCACTTTGCTGCAACACGGCGTCTTGCTCGTCCCTGTCCCCTTCCCCCTCCCCTTTGCTGCTGCTGCTGATAATGATGATGATGGCTGCCTCATCTCTTTCTCTCTCTCTCGCGCTCTCTCTCTCTCTCTCTCTCTCTCTTTTTGGGTGAATCTCTTTCTCTTTCTCTTTGCCTTTCTCTGTCTCCTCTCTAGGAAGTAATCAAGTTATCTGAGATTTTTGTGCTGTATTCTTATGATTATCATACTTTTAAGATTTTCTGTAAAAAAATATTTGGAAGCTCTAGATAGAGTTTTAATGGTGGGTCTTACTCTGTAATATGATATTTTAATTCTTTTTTTTTTTTGCTTTGCTATTTCAGTAGAGCTCATATTAAAATTTTATTTTTAGATCTTTGTATAATTGCTCTTTTCTTTATTATTGGCTAAATAAAAATTATTGTAAGCTCTAATTTTAAATCTCTAGGAGGTGCTCTAATGGTGAGACCTACAATGTGATCTGATGTGATGTAATGTTTATATTTGCTTGTTTGTGTTTTTTTTTTTTTTTTCCTATGACACAGTACTAAAACTCAAATTAGAACTCTAGTTTTTGAGTTCTTAATCACTACTTTGGCTAAATTGTGTTTTTTCTTTTTTTTAATTTCAAGAATAAAATTACAATAAACTTTTAACACTTTTTTCATTGATAATTATGGATAGGAAAATAATTTTTTCCTTTTTTTTTTTTTTTATAGGAGTTGGTTTCTCTTTATGCTCACAATCCAATTTGATAGAGCATTTAGGTTTAGTAGACCCATTGTGAGCTCAATCTCAATGATTCTAATTGTTCACTTTTTAGTATTCGTTGAAAAAAATATTCATGTAAAAAAACAAGATGATTGGGCTTCAGTAGTTATATGCTTGAATCACATTTATCTTAAAAAAATATATAGCAAATATAATTTCAAGAATAACCGTCCATTTTTTTAAAACAAATGTGATTCAAACATATAGTTTTCGAAATTTAATCAGCTTTTAAATTTTAAAAAATGAACGATTTGAATTACCGAGATTAGACTTACAATTGACTCACTAAATCCAAATGCTCTCTCAAATTGGATCCCCAATATGAGAGAAGCCAAACTCTTTTTGTATTGAAATGTGTATTTCATCAATAATTAATTAATAGATAGAAAAATGATTTATGTTTGTATCTTTATATAATTTATATGGATGAGTTTGTCTTTCTGAAAGGAAAATAGATATAATTATGTCAATTGTTTTTTTCTCCAAAATTTTTTTAAAAAAAAATCAATATAATTTATCTATTATGATTTCATGAGTTATCATTGCATATGAGTCATAAATAATGGGATCAAATAAGTCTAAGAACTTGTACTTATATTCATTCAGATTTTTTGAGTAGTGGGTAGTAGTACAATAGAAATTAAATTTGTATAGTATAATATGCATATATAGAATATCTTAAAACAATAAGATGATAATTCTTGATAATTTTTAGATAGTTAAGTCTGAATTCATAATATTATTGTAATGGGACATATTATACAGTACACTTTGACCCACTATACTTAATAAGAAATACTAAAGATTTGTGCATCAAATTGTATCATGTGATTTATATTCAATAATGATAGGTTAAAACTCACATATTGAATGAAATAAAATTCCACATTAATACTTCGTTTAGCTTGGCTTTTAAAATGTATTTTTTCAATTTTTTAAAAAATATAAATTAATTTGATAAAATATATTTTCATCTCATAAAAAACATCATATGAAAGTTGAGAATGTTTTTTATTATGTTTTTACCAAATTAGTTTTTAATTTTAAAAAAATCAAAAAAATTAAAATGAAATCAAAAAGTAAAATTTTTTAATATTTTGAGTAAATTACACTGACTTCTTCGGATTCAAAAAAAATACAATAAGTTCCATAATTTTAATATAATTACATTTAGCTTTCTTAATAATTTAATTCACTTTACACTACACTCATTTTTCATCAATAATTAGTTAATTATATATAGTTCAAAAAATTTATATCATTTATTTTACAATGAAATGTATATGTTTTTGTTTATGTTTATATTTTTACACTATTGTATTAATTTTATTATTTTAACCGTAATAAAAAAAATAAAAAAAAAAAGTCAAAACTGTAAAATTACTAATATTTTCTTTAAATTTAAAAAAAAATATATCAATAAAATTGTTCAATAATTTTTTATGTACACATTCCGTGTCTTACCGTTACTCATAGGAGATTTTTAACATTATTTATTTATTCCACTACAAACCCATGTGAATTGAACATTTAAAATTTTATTCAGCAATGATTTAGATCATTAATTTTGATACTCTAATAAAGCACTAATGAGATGGTAATGAATGAATAAAAAAAATAAAATAAAAATAAACCAAAACCAAAACAACACATCACTGTAGGTAGAACTCACTGTCAACTCATTAAAGCTACATTAAAGCTCAAAAATTAGAGTTCCAAAATATTTTTCAATTTTATTTATTTATTCCACTACAAACCCATATCATGGTTGTTTACTTTTTCTTTTCTTAATCGCAAAGCATCCCATTTTGGAAGGCGGTCAAACTTGTAATCACCTTTTTGGCTGCGGGACCTGCGAATGGGTCTAAACAAAGTACTACTTTTTTTTTAATCTGTCGATGTTTGAAATTAATTTTTTTAGTAATTTTATGATTTTTTATAAAAAATTTTAAAAAATGCGTGAAAAATAAACAGAATTATTTAACAATTTGCAGTGCTTTCTTTGGGCTAAAAACCCACTTTCCCAAACATTCATTTACTTTGGTAGCATATACATGTCAATAGCAATCTAGGCTGCTTGCTACTGTTTAGCTCATGGTAATAGTGTATACTATATAGAAGCTAACAATGAGTAGTGATACACACAAATATCAACAGTTACAAAATTGATTATACTTCTGTCATTGTTTGCAGTCTTACTACAGTATATGCTTATACTTCTGCTCTTTGTTGAAGCATCTGGCGCTTTCTGTCACTCCTTTGTACATCAGTTGTTTCAACATGCCAACCCCCTCTTGCAAACAAGCATCAATCTAATCAAAACAACAAATATAAGACTAATATTATCAATGCAGAGATACTTGCTCTGTTTGGAAATAATCAAAATAAAATAAGATTAATATATCATAACAATAAAGAATCTGTTGGAAGTGACCAAACCAAAGAGATTTAACCCAAAAACAGGAGAGAAGAAGGAACTTTCACAACTAATACTCAACAAACAGGCATTATGCCAGTTCAAGACAAAATAAGCTAGACTGAAAACAAATCGTTTTATGAATTTCAGTTTTTTTTCCACCAAGAAGATGTTGTAAACCTTTGAAAATTCAAATTGGACTCTAATCATGCAAAATGGATGAACTTTAAGCTAACGAATCTAACATAGTGACACAGTTCTTAGAAAGTCTTGCAAGATATGCGGTGATCTATTTCTCCGGATAAGGAAGTTTCCATCAGAAGAGATTTGGTTGTGAAGAAATATAAAATGTTTCACAATTTACCATAACCACAAACCTACCCGTTTTTGAGCTGTAGCATTGAACTTTTGGAGTAAGAAAGCTTTCGGATCCATTTGTCCGGGAGGCCTCCCAATGCCTAACAAGAAAATTACAAATAATTTTTTATCAGCACTAATGAAATACGCTACAGCAACAGAACAAAATGTGGAATTTTGGGATTTTGAACTAACCAATTCTCAGCCGAGGAAACTCTCTATTCCCACGAAAATGGTAGATGACACTCTTCAGCCTAGTAAAACAACAGAAACACAATCCAGTTGGTCATAAAGCAATATTTCATAATGAAGCTGACACTCCTAGATCTTTTCATCCATAATAGACAACCCACTACCTGTAATGTATCTGATACATACGCATACTTGTTAAATTATTGTAGGTTCTACAATTACAAACAACTAATTAAAATATTTTCATGAGATTTTGATGTGCATGCAGGGACCTGTGGAACATTGTTTCAAAAAAAAAACTCATATTAGTATTTTGGGGAAAAGAACATGCAAATAACCTTCAAACTAAGGTTCATACAAGAATTTTGGTTAAGCTGCAACTCCTTATGCCACAAACCAAGGATATCACAATGTAAGTTTAGAGTGTGAAAGCTATGCAACAATGAATCCACAATTGGCCACCCTAGTAGTAACTTGTGAAAAACTATGAAATTGGCAAAGTGAGTTTGCTTCAATTTAATGACAAAAACAAGAAAAACATAAAGAAGCCATAATAGTCAAGCGAGCTATCAACCAAATCATATTTCAATAAACCCTAAAATGCACTATCATGCCAATAGTCTTATGACAAGTTGATCCCACAATGATAAGTGTGCAATTTAATGACCATTGGATGAGATGAGACTCTTGGTGAGGTGTCTTGCTATGGAAAAGCCACAGCAAGATCACAGCACAACAAATAATAGCAGAGGATCACGTCCAATTCCGTATGGTGAATCAGAGAGCTGGATACAACCAGGAACCAATGTCTCTGGTCTTTAAAAATGTACTGGACTCAACACCTTACCTGAGGCATATCCATGCTTCCAAGCCTAATAAGGGAGAACCACTGGATTTCAAAAGGCTAATAAATTCTTTCTTTTTCTTTTTTCTAAACTCCTGAAAGTGCCATAATCTTGTAATTCAAATTTCAATAAACTGTTTAGAAGCCATCAAGTTGCCAGGCCAGCCACATATAATTGTTAAGAATTTCAACTCAAAAAAGCCCTCCATAAAATTATTTTGTTCCATATTATCCGCAAATATGTCAGCATGGGTACATTTATGAATGAAGGTACCCATGTAAAGTATGGAACAATCAGACTGCAACTAGTATGATCTTTAAATTCTATTTTCTTTCTTCTATCATATCGTGTTTTAATATCAATATTTTTGCCAAGTTCCCCACATTTCATTTGATGAAGTAAAATCATTTACACCACCAAATTCTTTATAACTATTTCTTCTCTTTGTCTTAAATCTCCTCATATATGCATCCACAAAAAAGACTAGCAGTATTTCAAGTGGCAACTCTAAGCCTGTGTCCTCGGATCCAACTGCAAGGTTCACTAGAGACAAAGAAACGCACCCCATCCAGGCGATCAAAAATTAATGTTACCCCTCCTGGTAATGTTGTGATGATCCTCACAAATTGTAAATTCTACCCTCCTAGAATGATAGGTATGTCTTCCTGCTGTTATGTACCCCATCTGTTCCTCGAGCGATAAAGGATTTGGATTTTGGAACATGAAGACTAAATAGAGAAACAAAGAATGAGAATTTCCTCAAAAGCATCGCCATGATTAGCAGACTTTGTTCAACAAACTCTATTTAGTTGCAATTGTACTTTAAAGGCAGCAAATGAAACAAAACCAT